GGGCTCTGCCCGTGCTCGCCGTCAGAACCAGCAAGACTTGGAGATTTTGGTGTCATTGACACAGTATTCATTGAGCAGGAAGTCGTTTTGATATGTTGCAGTGTCTGGCGGACACGCGAGCCTCGTTGAGGCAATAATCGATTGGAATTGTTAATGTTCTCAATCTTAATGGGGGAGGGTATAACGGGGTTACACGAACCAAGATAACAGGGGGGGTCACACGAGATGTGCATGGTGTGACCACACCAAAACAAGAATACGTTACGGGGCTAGGTAGCCAGTAGTCATCATGTATTTAGATTTTACCATATGTATTAAGTATATTTAGGAATATCTAAACTTTTAAAATTAGGATAATAATATAAATAAAAATCAGTTTTGATTTTAATGCGAAGAGTCAATTAGCCTAGGGAAGGCAATAATTACTCTTGGAGTAAGGGTATTGCGATCCGCTAACTCACACTTGGTCCTTGTAAAGAACGAAAGGTGGGTGACCTAAAGTACGCTTCCTCAAGCGCTTAGCTACGGCAGCCCCGCTGCAGGTGGGGATGGGTGAATCAGAGTGCCCACCTGCTGTGTTAGTATACTTTTGTCCTTTGGACTCCGGAAAAATCCCAGTATTACTGTGGTGAACTAAAGTACCATCGTGAAGTACCATGATCTACGAGGTTGAAGTAGGGGTTTCCAGAGCAGAGTGGTCTGTGGATATGTGCGCAATGCGTAAATAAGCCTCTTATTTTAATAGATAATTAGATGTATCAATTTCAGCTATTCATTTGTCTAAATTATCACTCTATATTTGAACAACTGTTAAGTACTTGGATCAGTTGACCTCTGTGCGATTGATAATGCTGGCAATCGATTCAAAGCTTCGCAAAGGGTTCTATGGCGGCGATGAATATGTCTTTATAATGCGACAAGTTCGTTATCTATAGATCATAATAATCTAGCGTGTGCGATACGTAAAAATTTCTTCGAGGAAAGCACAAAATATGTTGGATGGGAATCTCAAAGCTGACAACGATACGAAACCTTTCTCAAGGCACTTTTTAAAAATTGTCAATGGTTATTTATCATTCCAAACCATTCTACGTACACAAAAATTAAGTCATAGAATTATTGAGTAAATATTGTTGTTCATGATGCGGCTGTGATTTCGAAACTCAGATTGCGTTCTGACGCTAGTTAAAGTTATTTGCTTTGTAAGGTGGAGAAGGATTACAGTTATAGCTGCTATAGATATTCTTTGCTGATCTAGATCTATTCTCTCTGCATTCAAAATGACAGCCGTCAAGTTAAAATTCGTCGAAATAGCTCCTTCATTGTCGTTTCGCACGAGGTGTAGAAGCAATACAAGACGATGCTTCTCCGTGCCTTGAGAAACCAAATTTAGTATCGAACATTGTTACAACGACCAATTCCGATGAATCTTGTCGTCTATGACTTTCTTTGTAAAATACTTTGGTGATAGTACGAAGGAACCAGCTGAGTTGTTCTCGAACGAAGGAGCTAATTAAGACGATAAACTGTGAAGCAGTCAGTTTTGCAATTGTCTAAGCTGAAGACTGACATTTAAAGGGTCAGGGCCAGTATAATGTGCAGCATACGCGACAAGTCTACCTGGACAGATTTGATGTATATGAGTGGACCATACCGAATGTTTAATATGATGGAAGAGACTCATGGTGATATTTTTTGACGGCGCGATTGATAGTGTCATCGTTATTCTATATAAGTCTAGCCTGGGAAGTAGCTGCTTGTAGGAAACCGAGATTATTAGCTAGATAGTTTGGTAGTAGGGGATCGGACCAGAAGAAAGGGAATTGATGGAGGTCGTCAAGCATCGCTTGGTCGTACTGTGCATGCGTACAGACGACACCGGCACGTCAGAGAGGACGTAGAGATGCATATGATTGAAAAGAAGCAATTGAACCGTGTAAGCCTTGTCGAGAAGTTAACCTGAAAACTAAGTCAATGCTAGAAACATTCAAGACAAAAGTAAAAGCCTATCCAATCTGATTGAAACAACTGCTGAATGCTGGTGAAGAACCCAAAAAAATCTTCCTTCCGTGTCATCTGTAATTTACGTTAGCTAGCAGAGATACTAGCGACACGAATGTATTGGTATACAGCATCAACCAACACACACATTCACC